TTAAAAGTACAGTGTACGTTGAATGACACAGTGATATAAAAGTACGGCTCAGGGGTATGGCTTCCTCTCATATTTTGCATTTGGTGGCGCACTTTCGGCAAGAGTCGGAAATCCGGAAACAGTCGACCGTTTCAGGATAGGTGGGCGTGGCTACAGCACGGGAAATATCTCAAATTTACTTGGATACAAGTAATCATTTTCAGCAAAAAAATCAATAATTGCCCATTTCAGTGGGGCACAGATCTAAAATGGGAAGCGTGTGAGTGGGCATTGCACAGGCACTTTAAGCTTTGTGTACACTACACCGTGTACACTACATACTTTTACAACACTTAACACTAAACTATGCTATGTTATACCATAGACCTTATAATTCTAAGGTCTATGGTTATACCACAGTCCCTTGATATAGAGGGACTGTGGTTATACTATGTAATGCAACATTAGACAACACTACACTATACAGCACTACTACACTCTATGCTGTACTACAAACTCCACTCTATACTACACTTATTAATATAATTCAGGGGCGTAAGGGGCTGCATAAATGAAACAAACTGAATTATTAATTTTTTTCATTTTATTTGCAGGTGCTCGTGTTTGGTTATTTATTGGATTTTTCTTGGCATTTGGATCTCTTATTGGAGCTTGCTGGATTCTGTTTGGACCTTATGTTGTTGACAGTAAGTTGGATGTGACTATTTCAAGTAGCTTATGGAGCCCTATGTTTGTGATTATTTCAAGTCACATAAGGTTACACTTTGTCTACTGATAAAAGGCACAATGTGTTCACAAGGGTTGATAAATAAAAGAGTGCGTAAATTAATTCTATGTGTCCACCTACATGCTTATGCGAATATTATGCCTGTTTTTAGATTTTTCTTGAAAAATGAATCTTTTGTTCTTTAAAAAGTTTTGAAAATACTGTGATGGGCATGTTTTTATCAGACATGTGTTCTGAATATTTTGTCTCTGGGCCTCACATAGTATAATCCACCTTTAATAATTGCTTTTTCTTCTCTTCACAGAAAAGTATCCAATCATATGGCCAGGTGTTGCCATATTTCTACAAAATGCATTTATCTTTTTTGCGTAAGTACTCTAATCTGATCAAAGTTCTGTACATGACACATTGTAATATTGTGGCTGATATGTTAGTTTCAAGTAAAATCTGGAATAATTCAATGAATAATTCATATAAAAAAAGTTTTTGAATGAAATAAAATGCTGAAAACACTGTGGGTGGGTGTCTCGGCTATGTTATACACTTTTATGCACTTTAGGTGCACAGAATAGTTATGAACTTTGACCCTTGTACACCTAATAAGGCATGATATTATTGCTTCTGACTAAAGTAATTCCCTACTTTCATTTCATTTCAGTTCGATTGTCTTTAAATTTGGAAGAACAGAGGAACTATGGGAATGAAGCATGGATTGTCAGTATTCAGAGGTCTTGAGTCATAATGGTACTGTATTTTCAAACCACTGGTTTCCATGGTAATATTTTACTATCTGCTTACTATCTGCCAGGCTATTGAATCTTCCTTGTGAAAAAAAAAATTATTATAAAACTGAGCTGAGATGACCTTTGTTCATTACCATTGGCAGCTTCTGATCCTTCACACAAAGCGATCAGGTTTGCTATGTTAAAAGTTTGTCACCTTCTAAAGTAATTGGTTTGGATATTTATAGCTTAATACTCATTGCCTTCAAATACGTAGGATAACAACACATGCTAAAACGCAAAGGTTCACGAGTAAATTTCTACTGTAAAATCTGTATTAGAAGCAGCGCATTCTATTAAAATGGTGGATTGCAACAGAGGGACTGCAGATTCTATTAGAGCATCAACACATATGAGAAATGACGAATTTTTGGTTCTCAATTATTCAAAAAGAATGGGTATGGCGATGCAGCTTCTAATACAGATGTTACAGTATTCATAAACAACTATACACTATGGCTGTTGTATGCATAAGTGACAACTCCCCCCGGTCTAAACATTTTAAACACAATCTTAAAGGGGCAATAGATAATTAAATATTGCATGGAGCAAACGTAATCTTTGTTAAACATCACCCCATCACCTCATGAATGAAAATTTGTCAGTGCAAAATTATTATAATGAACTATGTAAAACTATGTTCTTGAAACCACCCTTGAAACTTCCACCCATTCCCAAAATGAAAAAAATTAATTTTGCTGTCCATATGATTTTTTTTTTTATCTACAATCCCTATCAGTAATATTTGTTTTGTTGGAGAGGTTTGCAGAAAGTGTATACACAACAGGGGACAAAACAGTGGTGAGAAAAACTGTTGACCCCCAAACTGCATCTTGCAGTATCAAAAAACATTTATAGTCAGTTCTGAATATATTCAAGTATAAATATGTCTTGTTTATCAAGAGTGAATTTTTTTTTAACTTTTATTTTATACTTTCTCGTCACTTGTAGTTGCCACTTTCGAAGTGATGCAATTGTCAGTCAATGTACATATTATTTACTTACACACAGTGTAGGAGTATTATATATTTTTTTCTTGTTTTATATTTAAAAGTACATGTATGTCAGTATTGTTGTAGCTTCAGGTCTTTGTGTATTCTTACATATATAAATGTTAGTAGTTCTTGTGACAAATTTCAATAAACTTTGGAACAATATTTTCTGACGGAGTATTATTAATAGATAAAATTTCAGATTTTGGTCTAGAACTCCCTTTCTAGTGCGCGAGTGTTTTAAATTAATATCATTACCTGTACAACTATTTAATCAATACAGTATTATCACCTGTTAACTTATTTTTTTTATCTAGTCACCCTGAATTTCTTATCCTCTCGTGCATTAGTATATAACTTTTTTTCAAGTGTCAGTAAAGTACATCACATGATGATTTTTTATTTGCACACATGTACTTTGAGGGATATGTACAAAATTAGTTATTAAATACTAGTACTTGTATTATAAAGATGAATACATATTTTAAAATGCCACTGCCGCTGTACTAGAAAATGTTCAATGTGGGTCCCATAATGTATGTGTAAAATAATCAGTTGTCTACACATACCACACACCAAGTCTTCTAAGGGACTATGGCACTTCAAATGTGCATGTATTGAATAATCTTTAAAAACTGATAAAGTCTATCGATCAATAGCAAGGTTTGTAGGGAATGCATTTTTTTTTTGGAAAAAAAACAGAGAATGATAAGGAATGTTGCATCCAACATTTATCTGGAAAAATGTATTACGTATGATTAGATTTATGTAATCCAGTCCAGTATGGCTGGTCTTAGTGACTTCTGACATGCTCGCTTGTTGTATCATCCAGTCTATACGGTTTATAGATGTTTTCATGTCAATCACATTGAAAAACGGTCTCAGAAACCTCACAAAGAATTAGACAATAAAAGCAGAGTACTAAAAAGGCCTGTATTATTTAAATAGTACAACACTGATACTGTGAAATGAGTTGTATTTACTTTTTAGCAGATTTGATGTGGAAAATATACTCACTTGGTGAAATAAACAACTTGCTTTTATGTTAACCTTGCATGTTTACTGGGAACTTTTAGCTATAAATCTCTGTACTTTCATGAGAAAAATGTTCTCTAGGAGAGGGAGTGGGCACATAATCTAGTATCAGTGATTTTTTTCTTTGAATAAAAAGTGAGGCAGAAACTGTTGGGTACAAAATTTATTGTTTTATATTTATTTTTTTCATGCATTGTAAAGAACTTTTAAAACTTCTTCTCACTGGAAATGATAAAAATCACAAACTCGGAAGATTTCTTTAGTGTATGTATATCCACCAATTGCATTCTTGGGATAATGTCATGTGATCATTGTATTGTGTCAATGCACTTTTAAAAGAGGCTGAGTGAACTATTACATTTTGTATGTTATTTGTGATGCCAGACATGTTTTATGAATCTAGCTTGTATTTAGCTGAGAAGCTTGATTGTAAATTGTGCAATGTTGTGATGTGCGGAATAACATGCGGAATCGAAATAGGGGCTGTCTAGTAGCCATACGATCGTGTCTTTACTTATCAGACCCTGCTTGGCTATTTGCATTCATCATCGCTGCCACATCATTCTCTGAATACTTCTCTCATACTATGATACGTTTTACAAGATCTTTTAGTTCATCATCCTTTTCAACAGCGCCATCACCACTCTTTAATCCTCATTGAATCTTTCTGTATCATTCATACTGCCTCGTTTTGACTTTCCTAAAATGTTGTGCATGTCCAAGCTCCTTGTTTTTTCTTTGACTGGCTCCAATATTTTTGTAGCTAGGATTCTGTGTGACCCCAAATTCTACACATTATTTCAACCGTTGGATTGTTGCAATCATTTCTGGAAAAACTAATGTTATGCGCCAAGTGTTATTTTGTGATTATAATTGTATTAGATAATACGTGTTGATGCAATAAACAAGATATTTTAACATAATCATTGTCAGTGTATGTAATTAATTATGACATGACTGTAATGCATGTATGTGAACAATGCATTATGACATTGAAATAAATTAGACCAAAAAAAGATTTTGTCTCTCATCCTAGAGAAATTTGAAAAATAACGCAGTTTTTTTTGTGTTTTTTTGTTTTGTATTCATATTATTTAGTACCACGACAAGATTATGTTCAACGTTTAAAGTTTATTATTCCTGACATGTTACCAGCGGGGATATACTAGTTACCATCAACCATACAAATTAAGTAGTATTGCAGATAGACACTGTAATTTTGAATACATTGCACACAAGACCTGATCTACATTTTTAATACCCATATCTGGTTATATGACCTCATGCTTATATCTGGAGCATTTATTGCTGATATAGACATTCAATTAGTGTTTTATTATTTAATAACCATATATCATTGGAATTTGCTATCGAACCAAGAACCAAGCATTCAGTGTGTATAGGTGGGAAATTTGAAGCTAAAATGGTATTGAGAATTGTTTCGGCTTTACAAAGCAAAAAACAAATAAAGTAAAAGTATAGCATATTTGTTCCCCTTCAGCTTTCCGAATCGACTCGAGTCGACCATTTTCTCATAAAAATTAGTTGATCTTGAACAGTATAGGTTTCAGAACGTTATTCTACATTGTCCGGGTTCCTTTTCGCGTCTGAGTCGATTTTTGGCAATTTTTCACCTGCTGTGATTTATAATAAAGCCTCTAGTGGCGACTTTAGTAAGTTACTTTCTTTTGTTTTTTTCAAGAACACAGATTGCCTATGATACAACTACGAATATATCTTTCCTTACATATAGATCTTCGATGCATGATTCGAAACAAATGAAGCTATTTATTCTAACCATTGAAGGTACCAACGGACCTTTCCTCGACACCGGGGACGATGGTTCTAACCACGGTTACTGTTTTAGTAACCGTGCGTGTTCTAACAACAACAAAATTCTGCGCGAAATGTTTTACTAGCTTTGACTTTAAAATGGCGCCCTCTGTGGTCACTTTACTGCACTTGCGACATGAATAAATGTCCGAGTCGCAATGATTGAATGAAAGCGGAATATGTGACATCAAAAAAATGATGCAAAGATGTATTTTAAATCGACAATTTGTTGTAAATGTGGCGAATATTTGATTGGGGAGGAATAACGTTAGTCTAAAATAATAGTATGCCGGCCCAATGACATAATTATAAAATGGTTATCTTGAAGAGCCGTCTCAGGACACGCATGGGATTGCAGCGACTGGCACCCTTGACCTACGTGCTCCCAATCGTCGCTACATAATATAATTACCCCCCAGGCAGTGTACTCCGTTTAATTCCTTTGCATTGTAATATTGATTTGTGGTTGACCCAGATTTACCTTTGTTCGTTAAAATAGGGTGGAGTACGTTTAAAAGACGGTCACTAACAATGGTTTTAGAAACGAGATAGCTTCACTCCCGGGACCGATCGATAATACCGCTGAATGGAAGCATGGACGGTCTTCCGTTCGAATAATAAAGAGAACATTTGCGTACCTGTACAGATAGATTAACACGGATTATCTCGTTTTTTAATCAGAATTATCAACTTGAGCACAACCATTAATTATCAGATATCGACATAAAACAGATGGATTACGCGTTAGTAATTAATATGTGTTAAATGGTAATCAATATATAAACGTCATAGAATCAATAAATCTTAATGAAATACTATTTACAAATTACTTTGTTGGAATGTTAGATAACGTTAATAGAATGTACGGTCGAAGCTCATCTGTTGCTGAACACTGGTCACGTGACTACCGTGCCGGTAACCAAAACACATCATATAGAGTCAGAAAAGGGGAACATTTTAAAGTAGAAATATAAACTTCATACATCGATTAAAATGGTAATACCTGTAACGACAGGCATTTTCGTCAGTGAGGTCCGTCTATTCGGCAATTGATTGAATTCGCGTTAGAGTTTGTTTACATCAAGTTCGTGAACTTGAAGCCATGCGCTTCGGGTGATGACGGACGATATGTGTAAACATGGCGGTTAGTTTCCGGGGTTAGTTTATTATACTAATAAACGGAAAGTACCACAAAATACTATCGCTGTGTATAGACATATTGTCTATGTCCGGATTGTAGAACTATAAAAATGGAAATGCACCGTAAAACATGAACTTGATAGATTTAAAACGGAAGGATCCCGTCGAGGCAATGTTAGGATATTGTTCAAGATATAGTTTGACATATCTGCTTCCGAAGTAAAATGCCGGCAACCGTGTTTTTTTTCTCATAAATTATCCAATGACGTGTGTACGAAAAATGAACCTAACCAGCAATATATATATTCGCTTATAAAATAGTAATATAGATGGTTCAACTGTAGCAGTTTGTACTCTGATATTAATATTGCTACTTTGTAAACAAATCAGGGAGCTACTTGTATATTGCAATACTTCTGGTTGGGCTGTTGTTTCGTTCTCAGTAATACATGTAGTTAGTTGGGGATGAACCTGGGATGGACTGGGTACGGATCGGTGCATGTTGACATGTTCAGCGCTGTTATTTTTTTATTCTTCTGAGTACAATTACTAACTAGTCGCGTGTTCGGATCCGCCATCGTAACGAGATTAATCGTGAAATAATTGCGTTACCAGCAGTCACAATGTAAACACGGGCTTTGTTAAAACAGTGTTGAATTATGGGATTGAAACTTGGAGGAACTGGCACACTGATAGTAATGATAAGCGTTATCGCGGCCTGTCTTATACGATAATACATTGACATGTTTCGTGTGTCACCAGTAATAGATTAAGCCCGGATTAATATAAGCGTCAGTTTTCATAAAATCAAACCAAATCCATTTTTGTTTACAAATTTTGATCAAAAGATGTAGCCAATAGGAAATTATGTCTATTTGAACCAAAATTAGTAAAGTGTGCAAAATGTTATGGCTTAATTTTGGCAGGAAACATTATGGTGTTCAAAGAGTACACCTGACAACAGTCCGTGTTGAGGGACTGTGGCCTGACGCATATCAGAACGTTGATAAACAGTAACTTTGAAACACAGTCTAGGAAAAATCGTCTGAATTGCTGTCGACACTGAGGCGATGGTCAAATAAACGAACCAATGCGGGCGAATATGCTTAGAAAAGAACGTCTCTTAGATAGCGTGAAATTCAGGAGAAAAAAACATTTATATAAATAGATTTTTAACGTCGCACGCGGTCACGACTGTATCCTCGTAATATAACTTCATGATCCGGGATCCAGCCTCGTGAATTGTACCCTGGATTGGACTCGTGACTGTAGACACGGTTGGTCTAACAAACTAGAACGTACAGTATTGTATGTACTAGTATAAGGATTCACGCCCTAGCAATTTTCTATAATATTAAAGCGCGGTGGTCGTCGCGCAGCGCGTGTTCGAATTTCGTGTAAATAAACAATGCATTTTACACACGTTGTATGCGTCGCTATGAGTCCCATATCAAACAAGACGCGGCACGACGACTGCCGCCCTTTAATATATAAACACTTGATCTGCGTGATTCTGCTGTGTGAAAATAACGGTCAACTTTAATCTATATACTCATATATACTTGAATTTAGAGCATCGACGTCCGTCAGATCGCTATGACAACAAGAGTACATACGACCCCCACGCACGTTGCTGCAGTGACATCACCTCTCGCAGTCCTGGTTCCAATATAATTCGTCTGCACTTCATCTGTCAGTGTTGTCTGTGTATATTTTTAGACACACATGTCATGCTTTTTCTGGCAGCAATACACACCCTATAGTGAGGATTTTGTTTTGTTTTTATTTAAAAAGCAAAACCAAAAGAACGTGAAACGCGTCGTTGCTAAGGGATTGCGAATTACATAGCGCCTCCACATCAACCGATAAAATACAGTGTTCGTATTTACAGTAGCCGCTGAATGCGTTCTTTTGTATCCGTTGATTTTCACTCAGACTTCCACTGTTCATGCGCGGGGCATGTATTTTTCTTCAATATAAAGTTGACTATGCCATTGAGTGAAGCTATGTCGTTTCCTAGCGGGTTCCTAGCCTAGAAACCAAACTATGTTATGCGCGTTCCATTCTTATGCAAATTAGGAGTGATCGAACTCCAAACAATCTCCATTCAGTTCAGTGACGAATCTCCGGCCTAGTGGTAGTGTAGGTTGCTCGGCTCGCTGTTTACACTGTCAAGTCAGTGTCCCTCGCTTAGGATAATTCTCCCGTGCGTATGTCTTGTCCATTCTTCGCCGCAGGTTTTTATTCTTAAATGATGACTTGTTAGCGAGGTAAGTCAGCGTGTTTTTGGCGGGAGTTACTCACTCGGCTATCGGCCACGTTCGCCAGTGGCGATTATATATATATGTATAAAACTGAAGGGGCCCAGTTTCACATAGTTTCACAACGGTTTCCAAACCTGGCAGGCAAATATCACACTTGAAAAAAATCGGCACATAAATGTCGCGATTACTATAATATATGCCCCAGACACAATCTAATCGGCGTTGGACAATTGCAGCGGTTTTGTCAAGTAAATCTGTTGTCGCCCGAGATTGTTTCCACTCGAAAGATCACGCATGGGCATGTCAACACATACAAGTACTCGTACTTACACAACACCGCCCTTCGCCCTGCTATGCTGCTGTGTTTTTTTTTCATAGGCGTTTTAAAATAACTTTATCGTTGTTAACGCAAAGTATTCCCCGTTCGTTGTTGACCGTGAACTTGTACTGTTATTGAGTGAATTGTGTAACCGGTATGTTTAATAACTATTTACAACTTTTGCTTTTGATTTTATGAGTTTCGGGTAGCAATTGAAGGTATTTTTTACTGACTACTTATTTATTATCCATAGTTTAGGTCTGACGGGTTACCATGTTTGGGGGAACCTATTACACATGTTTTAATGCGTATTGATGTCGCAAGCCCGTGTAATTTTATCAGACCCCGGCGACGGACCCCCTGAATGACGCTTGTTGATGTTAAAATATAGGGATTTACATGTACTAAATCGAGTAGCATTCAGGGGTTTTTATTTCCTCAAGTAGTATACAGTGACCTGGCGCTTTGTAACGGAATTCAATTGCTTTTCCTATTTTTTTTTCAGAAACCACTGAAGTGGAAAGCACAGTAAACCATATCTTTCCCTAAACAATGCCAAGTGGGACGTGCACTGCTTCAATCACCTGAATATTTTCTTTTTACGACAATGTCATACCGTCCAATGTCATCGATTGACAGCGATGTCTCAGACTATGACAGCGAGTCTACAAGTGTTACGCCAGTCAGTTCCAAACTGAGCAACAACTCGTTCGTTTTCCGACTTGACAATGGCCCAGAAGCAGTACGAATGGCCCTCTTGGAAAGGGGGTGGATAGAGTTCGAAGAGGGTGAAAATGAAGAACATGAATGGAATCTCTGGTGGAAGACCACACGTTTCCGACTATCTGACTACAATGATATATTACCATGGCAACGCATCAATCATTTCCCCAAGACAACTGCCATAACCAAGAAGGATTCACTTTCCCGAACCATGCGACGCATGAGAGGGGTCTATGGTGTGCATGTTTATAATTTTACACCGGTAGGGTTTAACTTGCCAAACGATTACACCAAATATGTTGCAGAGTATACAAAAATGAAGCAGAATAGTGAAGAGAAAGAAATTCTGTGGATATGCAAGCCAGCTGATTTATCCCGTGGCCGTGGTATTTTCATATTTCGAGATCTCAAAGATTTACAGTATGACTGTTCAGCAGTGGTGCAACAGTACATTAACAACCCGCTGCTGATTTCAGGGTATAAATTTGATTTACGTATCTACGTTAACGTGTCCTGCTTTCACCCTTTGAACATTTACATTTACAAGGAAGGTCTGGTACGTTTCGGTACTGAGAAATTTGACTTAACGACTTTGGACAACCGATTCTCGCACCTTACTAATACCAGCATCAACAAACTAAGTCCGTCCTATACAACTGATAAGGAGAGAGTCGGACCTGGATGCAAATGGAGTCTGACTACCCTACGCAACTACTTTCATCAACAGAATATCGATGACTCATTACTATGGCAACGCATAAGTAACATTGTCAATCTTACCATTCTAGCTCAAGTGCAGTCTGTTCCAAAGATTTCAAACTGCTTTGAGCTATTCGGCTTTGACATTTTGATTGACGAAAACATGAAACCCTGGTTGCTTGAAGTTAATTTCAGTCCTGCGCTCGGAGTAGACTGCCCGATTGATCAACAAGTCAAGAAACCAATGCTGAATGACCTTATTGATATGCTGTCTTTTACGGAAAAAGATAGCGAGAAGGGTGGGGAGGCATTTCGTGCCAATCTAATACGCCAGACTTATGGCCGACCAAACAACTACGGACTAAATTATCGTAAAACTAACAACACCTCAATGTCGCCACGTAAAAAAACATCAGTCAGTTCTACGCATTCTGGTAGCAGGCTGCCGAGTATCAGTAAGAATGTTGTAGAAGATCGGAGATCACCAAGTAGGTCTTCCAGTAAAGGTGCTAGTAGCGCAAGTAGCCGTGGTGGCAATACGGATACAGCTTCAAACGAAAAGACATATAAAGGAGTTGCCACAGTGTCAACTACAAAAACAGCATCACACAGAAAACCCGGAACTATCAGGAGGGATTATCGTGGTGGCCGGACAAGACAGACGACCATCGGACAGAATAAATTAAGCAATGAAACGAAAGTATCAGTACAATCTGACGGTGCGATCAGCACGAAAAGTTCAAATTCTATGTCACATGCCCTGTCATTGCCAGATATTGATGAATCAAAACAACATGTTGAAAATCATTGTGAGACTCTTCAGTCACACAAAGAAAATCAACATACATCAGGAGCAGATTCGTCTTTGCATGTTGCAAATTACTCAAGATCAAGTACGTTTCAGGAAACTGACATGCATCCCAAGCAGAGTTCCTCAGCTGCCGTTGTCATACCCCATCCTCCCGACAAGCCACCAAATCGTTACAATCGAGCTCAGACTCATATGGGTATGGCGCAGAAAACCCAATACCATATATCGGGTAAATTTGGATCCAATATCCCAGCACAACAAAGAAGTACCGGTAACACAGTGAGTGGTGCTAAAACCAGGATGTCATTTCGTCAGAGACCAATGGCCGACTCATTGTCTAATTTACACTCCAAAGGTGTGAGTCGTAACCGTCCTCCTCCAACTGTTGGGGACTTTATTTTAGCTTTCCCCCCAACAGAAACTTTACGAAGATCCAGCTACCCCGCTCTCGACATGCGGACAATCATACGCGAACTGCAAAAGCAACTAAAGCAGAGTATTATCGCTTCGAAAAAAGGACAGACGGTACTGCTGAAGGATTTTAATTCAAAACGTGGCGAACGACGTGGTGAGGAAGTCATCAAATGGGAACCCATGCATCCCAAAGCAACGGTGTCTTGTTAATTTACATATCAGATCGCAATTGATGCAGTGGGGTGGAGTTGTCATGGATACTTAAAAGGGACTTGAACTTGATCCTATTGCCAAAAAAAGATGCAATGAAATGAAAATTTTGTGGTTGCAATGATTATCACTTGTTGTAAATTATTTCTAATTTAACTAGTATTGGAGATAAATACGTTTTTGTATTTTTTTTATATAAATTGCCAACACCAACTGTGAATAAATGAACGAAAAAAATAACTGAAAAACAAATCTTTATTGCGTTTTTTCTTTTTTTTGTGTGGCAATTTCATTTTATTACATTGTTGCCTTAGCTATTCAGTACAATTTATGTACCCGATTTTATTGTATGTCAATAACCTTTTTAAAAAGTTTTACACAAAATGACTTTGTAAATTAAAGGGGAACTAAATGGTTCACACCACACAGAAACTCACTCCCTTACGTGGTTTTATTTATTATTTAAAAAAATTAGAATACATATACAGGGAGTTGCCAAAGTCTTTATTGAAGTGGTATTGTTCGTGCTGTCTTGAATGGAATTTACGGACAAAAAATAAGACACAGAATTGTCATTGTTGTTGGTATGCCTTCATTGTTGCACTGGTTTGACAAGACTTATTTTTCAATTCACGAGGGGGTGCATACGTTGCGAACCATACTAAACAAACATACATATGCCTTGCCCTACTGATTGAAATCTCATTAGCGCTGTCGCACGATCATTTGAATGCATCAAACCCCTAGTATATAAACAAAAACTCAACATTGGTTGTCAGTATACATTACGAACAATACAAACCGGTTCTAGCGGTGTACGTAAAGTCATAGCACATACATATAATTTTAAAATATATTGATTTCTAACAACTGATATTATTTATTCGTCGTCGTTGTTCAGCAGGGTGACTTCTAGTTTGTGTTTGGTTTGTGATTTCAATGGCGGCAACCAAGCATTGTACAGTTACCGAGGACCAATGGAAAGCGTAAACTAACGAACGAGACAGATTTAAAACCTATCAACAAATCTCTTTGATAATTAAAGAAACATGTCCAATACTTGAGCTGATTTTGTTTACTTTGGCCATTCAACCATGCTGAATTCTTGTACAAGATTTGTTTACCCGTGCTACTTAGCATTCTTTAACTTAAAGTCCCATGCTCCCTGACTGTAAGTTTGTTTTGACTCACTGTTGGTGCGTGCTTAACCCTTTGATCGTCAAAGTCCACCTGTCGTTATTCACAAAATAAAACCCTGATAATTTTTTTTTTAATTTTGGTCAGGATTTGTACGCAGTAAATTATTTCCCTTTGATGCAAAATTATCATAACAATTTTGGCGGGAAAAAATTCTTGGGTTGTGTTGCTGGATTCAACCTAGTTTAACTGTCATATGAATCACATTTGCCCGTCAATAAAAAAAAGTGCTTGAAGTATCGGAAATTTTGTTCACACTCCTCGAGAGTCATTCCAATTTATAACACCCCTACTGATTGGCTGTTGTCAAGCCGAATAAACCAATCACAGATTAAATTAATTTTCAGTAAATCAAATGTATTGAGCAAAACTAACAATTTATTTGATACCTTTAATTCCGAGTTTAAATTGAAAAAGCTTCTTTTTGTTTTTGTTTTATTTGGTTGTTTAGTGACACGGGAACAAGTAAACTTGTTCTATCTGTTGCTAAGAAAACAGGAACTGTCTATAGGTGTATATAAGCCATACTGTAAAATCTGTATTAGAAACCGCGGCTTCTATTAAAATGGTACAATCCAATAGAGGGGGTGCGGCTTCTATTAGAGCATCTACACATATGAGAAATGATGATTTTTTGGTTCCCAATTGTTTAAAAAGAATGGGTCCGACTTCTATTAGGGATGCGGCTTCTAATACAGATTTTACGGTACTAATTGCTGTCACGTTTCTATCATTTATGAAATGGATATGAATCCCTTCAATTACTATTTGAATGATGAGTGCAGTGACGACAAAGACTAAAATCCTTAAACTAATCACAGTCCCTCTAGAGGGACTGTGAACTAATCTTGTTAATTTGATTTTGTTTTTTGTTTTGTTTTTTGTGGGGGGGGATCAAACATGTGTATGTACATTTCTAATATGAAGCTAATACGGAAGCAAAGCAAAGTTTTTTCCCCCATATCAAGTTTGCTGATTTTTAGCAAACATGGCTTATGCAAGTATATCACACCCCTTGTTTAGTCTGGTTTCTGACTTAATTTTATTTTACTTATGGCCTTTTTTACCTAAATATTAACGCTGCTTAGTCAAACTATATTTTGAGCAATATATCTTAAGATTCTCCTTAGATGGAGGTTGAAAACTGCAAAAATCACATGATTTTGAGAAATCTTCCTTTTGATTAGCGGATGCTATGTTTATTAGTCAACGTTGATCCAGGGTATCCATGGATCATGGAGATGAAATATAAAGCATAATACTGTATAATACTTTATTTTTGCTGGAATTAATTTTCTCTGAAAGGACTTTAGATGTTTTGTATGGAATTTATTTTCACTGATTTTTGACAAGTTGAATGTGGAATATAGAAAAAAAGATATATTCGCTGGATTTTAGTTTCACTGAATCATTCTATAGCGAAAATAAATTATTTCACAGTAGGCAGAACAGCAGTCAAATAAACAGGCTATTGCTGTAAAAATGCTCCTTTGTGTACAAAAATGTAAGCAGCTTTACCCTTTTCACCACCAGATTTGCTCACCCAGTCTTCTGCACTTTTTCTTATATTCTTCAATATTTCTGGAAATAGCCCTTAACTTTTGTAGCCAACAGACAAAATTTGACTCTATTTTCAGCCATTACTCATAAAATTTGGCTATTTTTGTCCCAATCATGTGAAGGAAAATGCAGACTATAACGGGACTATTTTGTGAATTTATGATGAAAAGAAGGAACTGGTGGTGAAAAGGTTAAGCAAACAAATCCCTTTGGCATTTTTAAACCATACAAAAATTGTCGTCTGATTGTGAAATAGCTAATCCTCTTATCCATTATGACTGCTGATTGTCCAGTCACAGCTGTTTCTACTCTTGCCGTTTCACTCCCGAAAAACTTTGCTGTTTAACTTTTCATGATTAGATCTTTTCACAAAATCGCATGAAAACTTGAATCAGGCTTTGTAAATTAGAATCCTTAAATCCAAATCCTTAATCAGACTAATTATTATAATAATCAGACTCCTTAAATAAGACCCCTTGATACGATGCCTTAAATCATAATCCTTAAATTTGACCCCTTATAATGTAAAATAATTTATTTTCGCTGAAGGGATTAAAATACAGCGAATATACCTCATTTTCCTATATTTCACATTCAACTCATCGAAAATCAGTGAATTTAAACTCCATACAAAAAAATTAATTCCAGCTATAAACAATAAACTATTTTACAGTACATGTATTAGAAATCACGATGTTTATTGCTGAATTCAAAATATACTTGTTTTTTTTCTCTGTAAATGACACAAGTGGTTAGTAATTGGATTTCATTCTTGGAATCCTTAAATACTTGCATAAATCAGACTCCTTAAATGATAATCCTTAAATAATTACATAATATTTCTTTATTTTCAGACTCAATCTTGCCAAATTCATTTCTTCACAGTACGTCTGCTGTTGATTTCAAATCTATCATCAGAAATTTTATGTTATTTGCTTCTAAAATAGAGATTGCTTCGTGTTGCTAGAAAAGCAATAAAACTGCAGAAGCACTCAGTTCTGTGGCCAGCTGGTTCTTAAACGACCACTCAACATTATTGAATAATTTCCCCAAAAATACCTTTTAATTGAAGCAAAACAGTGTACGCATATGTTCTTTTGTTGGTACTGGTCGCCGGGACAACCAAATAAGTCACAGGAAGGGAATCGCTGAGTGTTAAATGAGAATTTTACAAGTTTGAAAGAAGTTGCGTGTGCGTGGAAATCGAGTCCCTTTTGTGTCAACTGCTTTTATTGACATTGCAAACAAATGCAAGTGTATCCTGAACAAACTTTTAATCTTGGCGAGTCAATACACTTTGCTAAAATAATCCTCAAAGTCATCCAGGCTATGAAGTTCAAAAGTTGACACTGAAATCACTGACCATTCTTGTTGTCATGGCAACATTTTATACATGTGTATCTGGCTTCTGTTCATTCACTGTTTATCCCATGTGAGGTGTGGATGTGTAAAAAGGGTTTGTTTATAGTTGGTGTTCCCATGGTGATTATTCCTATGACAAAAACTGTAATGTTGGGTATTCAGTTGGAGCTGGAATTTTTTTTCTTCTTATTGTTTCACACAAATATAAAAAGGTTATAGAATTTTCACCAAATTGAATCCTTTTAAAGCCATATTATTTGTTGCCAAATTTCAGTGCAATATTATATAAATTTGTATGCATTTTTCTATAATTCTAAACCAGATGTAAATAATTCCAATTGGCTGCAGGTTTTTGTCATATTTTTTTTTTCTAAAAATATGGAAAAAGTCATGTAATACAAGTAACGAAAGTTGCTTTGGGTTGAATTAAATTGCAGTGGTCAACGCACCGCGTCCTGTTAGATATGGGACTCATAGCAACTATACAACCTGTGTAAATTGCATTGTTTATTTACATGAAATTTGAACATGCGCTCATTGCGACCCACCGCTCTTTAAACAAAACCCACAGGCATTGTCCGCATAGATCCTGCACCCAGTGTGACCTGTGACCTATGTCTACATTAACCTACCCATATCTGAGTATTCCATTTTGAGTAGAAATTTAATTACTGTAGAATACTTTATTTTCGCTTGGAATTTATTTTCGCTATTTTCGCTGAATGGATGATTCCGTGAAAATAAAATCCAGCGAATATACTTTTTTTCCTATATTTCACATTAAATTCATCAAAAATCAGTGAAAATAAGTTCCATACAAAACGCCCAAAAAGCCTTTTCAGCGAAAATTAATTCCAGCGAAAAGTATTCCACAGTATCAC